CGGGTCCACTGGTGGAACCTCTTCTAACCGGTTCGGTAGATTTGATGAACCGGTTCTATCGAATAGGTGCGAACTGGTAGGAACCCACCTCTGATACATATATACATACATTCTCTCTCCCATTTGTGTATCTGTATGTCTGTCTGTCTATTTATCTAGCTAACTAGCTGTCATCTAGGTATCTATTGCATAACTATCACAATCAGAGAGAAGAGGAATAAATTCCTGTAACTTACAGGGAATCTATGCTATCCATAAAATATAAGAAACTCTCATTTACAACCTGCACAGTAATGTAAAACATGAAATGTATATAAAAAAGCTACCCATCTCCACCAAACTTGCTGCTGATGATGGTGAAAATGATGCTTAATCTGTGTGATGTCACTATTAGTAATTAAAGGATTGAATAAAAAGACTCAGATTGTAATGGTATGTGAGAAACATCTCGAAAAAGCGGAGCAAAGAGAATCAAGCAGTAGAAGATACAGTCCTCTTTATAATTTTTCAGGTAAAGAAGACAGCAAAAGATCTCTACTTTCAGACTTGCAAGATTATGTTCGGGTAGCCTTATAATAAGAATTATTAGCCCATCTGATCTTCTTTTCTATCTGGTCTACCAGGGAAGGCTGACAGATCAAAGTCCATATTATTTTCACACTTGATTGTGTGGAAGGTTTCTTATTTTTCTTTTAGACCTACTCTCCAAGAGGCACTTACTTATACTATCACAAAAGCCTTTCCTCAGACTAAACCCACCCATCACTGAAGGAGTCAGCATTCAGCTGCCATGCACTGGAAGGAAAGGCAGATATGAAGCTAACAAAATCAAGAGGTGACTTAGTAGTAGCAATTTCAGCATTTATAAATGTGGGTACGGACAAGGCTATCAAATATTTTCAGGCAACTCAGCTACTGAGTTGGAACAGAGACCACGAGAAGGAACGTTGAAGAGTAACTCTTTTTTTAGCTCAGGGGTGGACCTTGGGAACTAGTGAGCTTGATTGAAAAGCTACACCCTCTATAAAGCCGAAGCTTACAATATAAATGAAAAGCAAGCTCTCTAACACCCCTGGTGCTCATTCTTGATCTTTTACAGCCAGAAGGCAGAGAACAGCCGCAACTACAAAACTTGAGAAAAAGCATAATGAGTACCGCTGGCAAAGTAAGTAAGGAGAAGTTTGTGTTGATTCCTTCACAGTTTTTCGTTAGGGTGAAAGACACCATTTTATTTATTGTACTGTATTCTGTTAGCTTTGGTGGTCTCTTCAACTGCAATTATATATGTGGTTTATAAAATACGTGAAAATAAACATGTAACATACCTGCAGATACCTAATTATAACTTTTGTATCAAAACCAAAATGATAGATTGAAATGGAATTCTGAAAAAGAGTTAACTGAATGTAAAATATGATTATTGGAAGAGAAATATGTGTTTTGAATATTGCAAGAGATAGAAAAAGCTTGTTGAATTGTGAAATTTAAATTCAATGCAGTACTGCAATGAAAAGTTTATTTGCAAGAAGATTATAACATTTAGTATTTGAGTTTTGTTCTAATAAAGCCAAACCCTTTCAGGGTGAAAGTTCAAAAATAATAGGCAGTAATCCAGCTAACATTTGCAATAATTTTACTGCAGTGGTAAACTTTTCCTAATGGATGTGTGGTGAAAGGAATCCACCTCTGAAAGCTAACTTTTGTTTCCTGTAATTTGTGTTTTAAAAGTCTAATTATTGTAGAACTACCGGTTACATACAGCTGCAAAATCATCAATATTTGGATGAGGGAATAAATGGGGAAGTCTTCAAATTTGCAGATGACACCAAGCTGGCAGGAATAGCCAA